ATCAGAGAGGCGACAGCACTATTTTACCAGGGGGATGAATAAAGTTTCACTATTTCATCCCTATCTGACTGGATTGATAATTGTGTGATTAGTGTTTTGGAAATTTAACAGGTTCTCAGATACAGCAAACAGAAAATAAGTATTGCAGTCATGATGTCAGCAATTCAAAAGTCATATAAAAATACATAATTAAAATAACTTAAGCTCTTCTTGACATTCATATCCCACATAAACATGTACACTTACACACATCCGAGGCAGGAACCGAACCCAAAACCCTAGATCCCCTGGGTCGGTTGTAGTGCTGGTCACTGAGCCCCAGCGCTGCTCAGAGCTTTATAAAAATACTTGCATATATGCATATATTACAGAGTCTCAGGGTAACTCACCCTGTAAGGTCATTAAAAAGCAGTTTCTGACTAGGACAAGGAAACAACAAAATAACTGATATTTCAGCTATATGCTGCATGTCTTATTGTACTTAAAAATGTTTATTTTGATTTTTTATTTGATATACCTGTGTGTGGTGTATGTATTTATATCGTAACACGTTTCCTTTTCCAGGCTGGACAGCTGTAGACTCACAGAGACATGCTGTGAAGTGTTGGCTTCAGCTCTCAGATCAAACTCCTCTCAGCTGAAAGAGCTGAACCTGAGTGACAATGACCTGCAGGATTCAGGGGTGATGCTGCTCTCTGCTGGACTGAGGGATTCACACTGTACACTGGAGATACTGAGGTCAATATTACTGGGTATTCCACACTGTAATGTGTAATTACTGAAATCTTTATTGAAGTCGTGACATTTACTTAAAAGTAAAACTCATAGTGGTGACGTGTTTTTATTTATTGGAGAGATATTGTCTGTCTCTCTGCAGGCTGTCAGGCTGTAGAGTCACAGAAGAAGGCTGTTCTTCCCTGGCTTCAGCTCTGAGGTCAAACCCCTCACACCTGAGAGAGCTGGACCTGAGCTACAATCACCCAGGAGACTCAGGAGTGAAGCTGCTCTCTGCTTTACTGGAGGATCCCAGCTGTAAACTGGAGAAACTGAAGTGAGTATAGAATGTGTGTCTGCTCCTGCTATAGACTCATGTATGTGGAGAAAATGCAACAATTAAATAAATGGATACAGCAGTACTATGTCCTTCTGCTTCTGATATAGTGTGGACCACAGTGGAGAGTGCAGGACCAGACCAGGGATCCAGAAATGTAAGTTTGTTTGCATGTTTTTATTCTTAATACCGTTAATACTACTTTATGAAAGCATTCACACAATTATTGTGATATTATTGTGTTTCTTTTGGGTTTAAAGATGACTTCCTTTTTAAATAAAAATCGTAGTCAATGAAATTGTGTAGAAATACATTATATCTTGTTTGTGTTTGTGTGAGAGTGTAACTGGGATTAATACATTCTGGTATAGTCATGCATGTTTTAAAAAATCCTTCATATGTTCTTTTTGTGCATGTGATGACTGTACTGTTTTGAGATTTGTTAGGATTGTCCTAAGACAGCACCCGTAATCTCCCCAAACTGGCTGTGACACTGAATGTCTCCTAAGTCTGCGCTAGTGATGGGAGTTTCGGCCCTTTTTAGTGAGTCGGATCATTTGGCTCAGCTCACCAAGAAGAGTCGGCTCTTCTGGCTCCCAAACGGCTCTTCATTTTATTACTTCTGCCTCAGCCAGATTCAGCGCTGTTATGACACATGATTGATATGTGTACTAAACCTTATGATTTCCTAAATACCATAATTTTACATTATGTTTGGTATAAAAAGATTAAATGTAAAAACCTCAAACACTACTACATGTGTATTGAACATTATATAAGTGGAAAATCTGTTTTTGTCTTTGATCTATTAATAACAGTCAAATAACATAAATAACAAATAACAAAGAAATTATAAAGAAAATTTCAACGTGCAAAGCATCAGCATCCAACAGTTTTAGTATCTATCCGCTTTAACAACTATCTATCACCTTTCTAACAGTGTAACATTTTAACATTTCCTTTGGGGCAGAAAGGCTAAGTGCCTCAGCTTAGGCCACTTAAAATTAATAAATTGTTTTACATGGCCGCCCGCCTCAATTTTTTGGTGCCGCCTCGATTTTTTTAATTTATAAAAATGATATATTTTTTTTATATTTTTTATATTTTTCAAAAAATCTGTTTTTTTCACCTCAAAAACTGTGGGTGAAAAATCTTGAATGTCAGCCTCGGATTTTTCAATTTGACGCTTCTCGGACAATGGTTTTTATCGTTTGTCAGATTGTGTGTGGGCCCACGGTATTAAAATCTTGGCAGGGCATCAATATAACGAGTAATATATATTAC